TGACAGAGTAAAAATGGGCTTTATGATGGGCTTTGCTGTTGGCATGGCAGCAGGTGCACTGTTTGGCACGTTTTCTTGTGTCAGGTATGTTGGGAGACCAAATTCCATAGTTTTATGCAGTATAATTATGACACACTGAATCTTCTTTATGGCAAACAATGCCAGCTTACTACAATAGGTATATTAATAGTATATTAATAACTTAATATCTCAAACTTGACATTAAAGGTGGTAGAATATTTGGATGTACTTTTTAAGACTTATTAAATATGCCTAAATACAGGTCTCATTATGTTTACGGAGTACTAAATATAATGACTAAAAGAAATAACGAAAAACATAATTTGTATAGCTTGGGTGGTCTGTGGTCTGTCCTTGAAACTATGTTTTGATTAGGGAGGAAGCAGGCATCCACATCCAGCAGGCAACTTTGATGTTCTTTATCCTGACACTTTTTAATCGTCTACTGATGATTTTCTTTTACTTATTTTGAAAAATAACTTTCTGTTTAATATTGTTTCTTTTTTAGGATTGGCATGAGAGGACGAGAACTGATGGGTGGTGTTGGTAAAACCATGATGCAGAGTGGTGGAACATTTGGGACTTTTATGGCTATTGGCATGGGAATCCGCTGTTAACTTGAATTTCTTTTATTCTTTTTTACCATGAAGACTAATGCCCGTTAGTACAGATCCTGTTATGTAAAATAAAACTTTGTACCAGGAATAAGATAAAAGTATCTCAACCCTTCGTGCTGTATTGATTTGCTATTATTTCTCTGAGCAAGAATTCTCTACAAGAAACCCTGGATATGAGCATAAGTAGCATAGTTATGTAGTATAGAAGAACTACATGTCCCAATAATTTCCCTTTTTTTGTTGGGTTGGGCTCAAGTTAATATTGACATGGATTTTCACCCTAAGTTTGTATGCAAGTCCAAAGTACATGGTAAGCAATTTAAATACCATAGCTTCCTAACAGATAAGATTTTTGGTATATCATTAACAATGGTTTACTTAACACAATTTTCTGGGTATGCATGACACTGAACTAATTTCACATGATAGATTTATAAAACATGCAAGGCTGAACATGGCTGACTGGCTAGCTTGCAATTTAATACAAGATGTGAATATAGTGATTCAGCAGGTAGCACCATAGACTGCTGAAGAAGCTGCAAATATTTAGATTTTATTTACCGCTTATAAATTTGAAAGTTAATATTAACAACTTTTCTTCAATGTAAAAAATGAAACACGTCGGGTATAGCACAAAAATTGTATTTTTATGGCTTGTCTTACAACTACTATGGTTTAATCAAAAGTTGGGTTGCTTGCCTAGCGTTTTTAATTCCTTTTATTACTGCGGATAGTAAATGCAGTAATCTTGCTCCATGTCCATATAGTGTGTGATGGCTGGCAAGATAATATAGCTGCCTATGTTTAATAGTGGCAGATATAAAATCATTTCAAGCAGCAAATGTAATAGGGAATTAACATTTTTCAGGAATTATTCCTGTTCAGTGGAAAACAGTAGAAAAGTATTGTTACTAAATTCTGCAGATTGGAACCTCTGCATCTTATCATCTAGGGCTTGGAAAATGAATTTTAAAATATTTATAAAGATATATATATATCTTTAAATATTCTAAAATTCATTAGAGATCCGTTATGAAGACATGCTGTTGTGTAGTTCATCTGTGGGCACAAAGGTGGCTCTGCAGTCTCAGTCTGGAAACACGAGTATAAGAATGGGGGCACTGAAAGTCCATTATTATAGTAGCTGTGGATGTTATTCTTTGACACCATTCAGTTTTAAATCAGTTTTTGGTGCCACCCATCTTCAAAGCCAGTGGAGACTTCAAAGCACAGGACTTGCCAGTGGTCACCAACAGCTGTAGCTTCTAATTACCTTGGCTGCAATCCATGTGTTTGAGTGGTGAGAGTAAGAGAACTGACCAATCCTGCACAGCATCTGACATGCAAAGAACAGATTGAATAGTACTGGAAATAGCAGGCAATCCTGTTTTGGCTCATTGGAAATGGTGTATACAGCCAATCAATTACCATTGTAAAGAACCTATCCTATCATTCCGTTGGAATAATAGTTGAATCGATTTAACAAATTTCTTGGGCATTCATAACATTTCAGGATGATCCTTAAGCCTCCATTGCAATATCAAATGCCTTTGTCAGGTTAATGATTTTAGAAACCCCTAATGAGGGCATCACGGAAGTCATCAGGCATCTCCTCCATAGAGATCTGTAGGCATCTCCTTCCATGTCTTGAAACATCTACAAAGCATTTGGGGTTAGTGCTTTGTAGATCTCAGCAGGAATGCTAACCTGTCCTGTTTAGCTGCAAGATCACTTTCTTGATCTCATCAATACAGTGAGGTCTAGGGCAGGAGTCCCCAACCTATGGGCTGCGCCCGGGACTGGCTGTGGGCTCTTGGCCAGCAGGCCACGGAGATGACTGGCCAGTGCGTGCACGTGTGGGTGTGCATTCCCGCCCCCCCCCCGTGGCCATTTGCCCATGTGTGGGCGCAAACGGCACTAGCGCGGGTCAGGTGTCCGTGGTTCATTTGCACATCCGCAAACAGGCTGCTACCTGTCACGGGGGTGCATAGCTGTTTGCGCATGTGCATGGCGCCAGCACATATACTTTGGATTGAAGGTGCTTAAACTTGTATGTCTTTGAGACAAATGATGGATCATTCTACTAATCTGCACAGGCCTCATTCTTGGTCTTATAGTTTTCATCAAATCATGCTTGATATACCTAGATTTTCAGTTCAAGTACTTTTGTTGCAGTGTGTGATGACATCTTTAAAGTGCATCCACTTTTCAGAATAGGTAAATTGGTAGTAAATTGCTGAAGAGTACATCTTGGAAATGTTGAACTTGGTGTAGGTCTTATGGTCTCTGATGTGGCATGAGTCAGTCTTTGGTTGTTTATGATGCAAAGGGACTATGTTTAGATTGAAGAGTGACTAAATTAGCCTGCCCAGCACTCAGCATCTTGCACAGCATGATTGATGGTGATGTTTTTTAAGATCACACTGACATACTATGACTTAATCAAGTATGTCATAGTCTGCAAGTCTGAACATTGTGTTAGTGATGCACAGGTTGTCCTCAGCACATTTGCTGAAAATCAGCCACTGCTATTTAGTTTTCCCAATACATGTCTTCCATTCCAGTTGTTGTGTTCTCATTCTAGTTTTGAAGTCACCAGAATGACGAATCTGTCATAAGTAACTTACTAATTATTTATTATTAAATAATTGTCGTAAGACAGTAAGATGTAAGGAAGCAACATTTGTAACTGAATGAAAATATTTTTTAAATGAAAGCAAGATAAGTGATCACAATTTTAGAAAAATACTTCCCTTTCAAAGAGTTGGGAGTAGGAATATTAAGTTGATTACAGCAAACTCAACATTCACAGTATTCTTGTATATACAAAGCTCAAAGCACGGGAACTCTAGACCTCATTCTATCAACTTTTCAGACACTATGATATTCAGGCCCACTATCTAAAAATTATTCTTCATTTCTGGCAAGCATGTGACTTTCAATAAACTTATTACTGAACTATACAAATAGGAGAAGTATTTACAAAACTATGGGCGTGAGCCAGAAAATAACAATCTTAATTTGAAAAACATAGGAGAATCATGTTAGATAAAAGAAATATGTTGTTAAAGGAGAAGGGTTATGAAAATTGGAATAAAATTCTTATTATCTCTCCGTGTCATTACAACTATTAATATTTATACCATAAAAAACAAAGCTGTTACAGTATCTGCAATGAGCTGACTGGTGGGTAGTAAGGAAAATGAGACGGGTTCATAACAGTACTGGTATCTATGAGCTCAGGCCAAATTAGTACTGTATATGTCTTAAAATAGCTATTGATTCTTCTGTCTCTTAGAAAGCTTTGCGTTACATAGTGTGCCTCAATGGTTTTCAAGGCAAGGATGTCAACGGTATGCGATGGAAACAGACTGTTCTAGCAGGAATATTGGATATATAACTGCATACATTTCTTATACATCTTCAAGCTGGGTAGTCTTTCCAACAAACTTAGTTTTTTTGTAATTTAGCACAGCAGTAATTTTGGTGGTAAACCTGTTTAAATAATTTTATCATGTCCTATACTATCTATTTACATAATATAAAGTTTCAATTGCTCATGATCAACTTGTACCAAGAATTGAGCAACAGAATACTGCCCACCAAATATGTAAGATATGCACTTTCTTGGATAAAAATGAGATCTGAAAATGATTTTCAGTCCCAAAACAAACTTCGAACAAATAATGCACTTTACTCCATGTTGTTCCCCAAAAATAATTGACATATTCTGCGAAGTATGTCAGAAATTTAAATCTGTCAATTTCAAGTATGTTTCAAATGTTTTTCAAAATGTTCATTTTTCTTATACTGACACCCCATAATTTTTTTTAAATTCAAGTGGGTAATTAGTTAAAATATGCAATCTTCCTTATGCAATAAACAAAATATAGCAATAGAGCTCAGAAATTTATTATTTTTGTCATGGGCATATCTTATTTTAAACATTTTTAATAAAACTTCTGAATCAGGATTTTTCAACTTTTGACTTTTAGATTCACTAGAATCTTCCTTCTTTAAGACTCAAAACATCTAAATCAAATTCAACTTGGAAATGAAATCAGTTTACCTGACCAACAGCTATAGAAGGAAATTCAACCGGCCATAAAAATATGCAAGTTTTCCCCCCCTATATCTTGAAAACTGTAATTGTTCAACTTCCTAAAACAGATATTTGAAAAGACTAATAAGGAAATATATGTAGGAGATGTTTCTGTTAAGCATAAGGATTGTTCTAAAATTTAACTATGCTGCTGATTCATTCTGTAAACGTAAATTACAAATCAGGCTTGTGGCTCACCTAAAGAGATTTAATGTTGATTAAAGTTAATCTTCAGTTTTATAAAAAATAATTCTTCTGGAGGCCTTTGAGAGAATTTTATTTGAGTGGTTCTTACAAAGATTGTTGCAATATGAAAGTTGTTTGTTGATAGAAATATTAAGCTGTTTTTTTCAAACACACTGAAGTAACCCAAAAATATATTTCAGAGCTCACAGAGCTTAAAAAAGAGCAGAGATTATATGCAACCAGACAAAATATATTCCTGCATTTCCTACTTCAACTTTTAATTAAGTACATTCCCTGCAATCATTGGAACTTTAATCTGGAAATGCAGAGATAGCTTTGTTTGGAATTCTAAACACACCTTACACCTTATTTACAAGAAACTTTTACAGAGACAATCAAAAGTTACCATCTAGAAATAAAATCTTCTAATCTTCTCAATCTTTCCAGCTGTTCAACATTACTTGGGCAGATCAGATGACTGAAAATCATTCAGTAGCCTCTTCAAATTTCAATCCATACAAAACACACCAAATATGTCCAGTTAAATCTATTTTAACCTTTAGCAGAGCATATTCATTTTAATAAATGTAAAATGCAATTTCTGCATTAAAAGGCTCGCAAAACATTAAAAATGTCTTCTCCATCTTTTACAGAAAAAAAACTTTTCTATAACCTATGTCTGTTCCTACACCATACTTTAGCCAAAAGTCTAAATGTACAAGAATTACAAGGCAGAACAAGTAGTCAGCTTTGTTTACAGTGGGAATGCTAATCATGAGAATAATTACAGCATTCCTGCTTATTATATATATTTCTTTAAGGTAACAGGAAATGTACACAAAAGGACTTTACATCTTTTTCCTTTTGTTTTCATCTAAATAAAGGTAACTCAAGTCTTCGTTCAAAAATAGCTATGTACAAAACTGACTCAATCCTTCTTCATCGCCGAGTTGGAACCAAGAGCTGGGTTGCGGTCATAGAATCTGGGAAAAGATTATGGTACGTCGGAAGAGGAACGTATGCTGCTGTGATCATTTTACCTGTAAAAGAAGAAAACAAAGTGTCTTCACATCTAATAGGACAAAGTACAATGCCGTTAAAATATAGGAAATAGCTTCCAGCTTTAATTCATTTTAGATAACTCACATTTCATTCCTACAATGAATATCCATCATTCAGTATGACTCAACTACAACCAAAACATATTCAATATGTTTATTACAGTCACAAGACCCAATATGAAACATTTATTTAAAAAGCAATCCCTCAGGAGATAAAATGTCACATAGGATAATTAAAGAATTTTATAATGCTTGTAACAATTGGACATTTGATTCCCATCCATAAAGATAAATCAATTTGCACTAAGTATGGCAAAGATAACGTAGGTCACACTGGTCAGTAGGTAATGTTGCTGTGCCCTTGTGCAGAACTCTGGAATTAGCAAGCAGATTTCATGTGTTTCTCCAAGTGTCAGCCAAATGTAAAATGAGAAACATCTGCCTTATCGACTAAATTTCCTTGGGGCAATTTGTCACAAACAAGAAATGGTTTCATTATACAAAATAGGCACAATCAAAGATACTCTTCAAATCAATTCCTTATTACTTTTGTTAACTCCTAAATTTGGAATTTTCAACTTATCATCTCTTAAATTAACCCCTAGCAGAAATCACATCAAATAATCTTTTATGTTTATTAAAAAAAGTTTTCCTTTGTTTTGAAATGCAACTTCCATTGGCTCCTGACAGTAGTACATGTGTTAGTTGCTATATGGTTAAGAGTTGAAAATACTGAAAACCAAATTTGAGGAATATACTTTTACATCATTTTAAGAAGCATTCACCAGTTAAGAGCACCTTTTCCTATAGACTCCCACTCCCGGCCCAAATGAGTTGGTGATAGTAGGGCAAATACTGATGGGAGGATGGAAGATGCATCTGGAAGAGCCAATTTTCCATCCCTAATTCATATCTATTAGTTATATTATAACAAAATAGTAAATATCGACTTACCTGCAAACCATCTTCCATGTAATGCATTGACGGCTGCAATTGCTGCAGCTATTGAAGGGCATTTGACATATACGTTGCCCTGAAGTATTAAAAAAAAAAACAGTATTTACTAGACAGCCCATTAACCATTTCCTCAATGCCTTCAGTAATGTCACAGCAGATACTATCCCCCTTGTCCTGATGAAGTGTTCACAAGAATCTAGTCTATCATCTCAGCCTGGTGAGATCATGCCACCATGAAGTGAACTAACATCAGTATGCTCATGTTATCCAGTTATATATCTTCATCCTGGTGAACTAAGCAATGCTGTTGATGTCCTCTCTCCATATCTAGATGACAGACAATAGGCTTCCACTTGGAAAGTAGCCCATGTTGAATTGTATAGCAGTCATGCTTCAGCAGTTGATCACAGGAAACGTTTTATGACATTTTGTACTATGTCATAAAATGCTTTAAAACAATGTAAAATTTATAAAATTTAAATTTCATGGGAATCATGGGTTCTGGATTTCATAGGTAAGTTAGCCCACGTAAGGTATCTTGGTTCAAAATGTTTTGCCCTACAATGCCTTTAACCTAGTACAATATAGATTCATTCTACCTAGTAATCTATTTTCTTCAACTAGTTGCTGTTCTCTATCTAAATGCTTAGACAAACATATTTAATTGATCTTTTTATTTGCAAACCAACAGATACTGGCATAGAAATTTTAAGAAAAAAATCAATTGGTAAAAATATGTTGAGACTCTAGAAAGGGTACAGAGAAGAGCAACAAAGATGATTAGAGGACTGGAGGCTAAAACATATAAGGAACAGTTGCTGGAATTGGGTATGTCTAGTTTAATGAAGAGAAGGACGAGGGGGGACATGATAGCAGTGTTCCAATATCTCATGGGCTGCCACAAAGAAGAGGGAGTCAAGCTATTTTCCAAAGCGCCTGAAGGCAGGACAAGAAGCAATGGATGGAAACTAACCAGAGAAAAGCAACCTAGAACTAAGGGGAAACTTCCTGGCAGTTAGAACAATTAACCAGTGGAACAACCTGCCTCCAGAAGCGGTGAATGCTCCAACACTGGAAGTTTTTAAGAAGAGACTGGACAGCCATTTGTCTGAAATGGTATAGGGTTTCCTGTCTGAGCAGGGGGTTAGACTAGATGGACCTCCAAGGTCCCTTCCAACTTTATTATTATTATTATAATACTTTGACTTTGCTAATTGCTTAATTTAAAAAAAATGTGTTAAATCAGTAAAGGTTAAAACAATTGGCAAAAATTTTTGACTAAGGTGAAAGCAAAGAAATGTAAGAGTATATCTGTAGGACAGCGGTTCTCAACCTGTGGGTCGTGACCCCATTTGGGGTCGAACGACCATTTCACAGGGGTCGCCAAACAAGGCTGTCCGCTATTCCCCCCCCCATTTTTTCCCACTTTTCTTTAGCTGTGCTACTTCCTCTTATTCTATTGGCTTTTGAAAGCCAATAGAATAGACTTTATTCAAGAGACTCTATTCTATTGGCGTTCGAAAGCCAATAGAATAGACTCTCTTGAATAGAGTCTAATTCTATTGGCTTTCAAAAGCCAATAGGAATTGTCAAGGCTGTCTCTGCCCTGCTGAGACCGCCAAAAGCCCCAGTCTGCAAACGGTGCTGCAAGGAAAGCTTCCTTCCCTGCTGAGCAACTACTAAAAGTAAGTAAAAGAGGGCCAGGGGTGGGAGGTGGGCGAGTGCAGGGAGGGTTTCGGGCGCACATGGGGCCCGGCGGGTGCCTTACCTGCCTGGGCTGGGCCAGCTGGTGGCCCAGCCGGTGGTCGCCCTGCGCCGTCACTGCCGCTTGCCATGGCTGCCCAGGAGCACCTGGGCCTGCCTGCCGCCACCCCAAATGGGCGGCAGCCAAGATAAGGCTAGCGGGGCAGCGGCGGGCGCAGGGAGGGTTTCTGGCACGCGTGGGGCCTGGCGGGTGCATTGCCTGCCTGCGCTGGGCCAGCTGGTGGTCACCCTGTGGTGTTGCTGCTGCGGCCGCCCAGGAGTGCCTGGGCCTGCCTGCCGCTGCCCTGAACGGGCAATGGCCAAGGTAAGGCTAGCGGGGCAGCGGCGGGTGCAGGAAGGGTTTCTGGTGCGCATGGGGCCTGGCGGGCGCCTTACCTGCCTGGGTTGGGCCAGCTGGTGGCCCAGCCGGTGGTCGCCCTGCGCCGTTGCTGCCCCTTGCCAGCTAGGCCTTGGCCAGCGCAGGGGGCGGTACCACGTATGTGCAGCGCTCCCGGGCAGGGAAAGTCCTCGACTTACGACCGGTTGGGGGTCGCGGCATTAAAAAGGTTGAGAACCACTGCTGTAGGAGATGACCAGGGTGAGTCTCTGTAGCCAAGAAACAAACTCCAGATAGACAAACTCCACGACCCCCCCCCCAGCCTTTCCAGAAGGCCTCTGATGACGAAACGGAGGCCGGGGGGGGGGGACGCATGCAAGTGGTGGCAAGCGGCCGCAGAAGAACTGGGCCGGCAAGGCAGGTGTTAGGGTGTGGAAGGCCTGGCTACAGCTGACCTAAGCAGGTAAGGTATCCCCCCAAAATAAGACCTGGTGCTTCTTTTGGAGGCAAAAAAAGAATAAGACCGGGTCTTATTTTCAGGGAAACATGGTGAGGCTTGAGACTAGAGCCTCCTGATCTAGGAATGGGCACAACTGATGCCCAATTCTTCAAACAGGAATTGTGAGACCAGTAGAACTCCCAGATTGTGCCCTAGGTCTGTTTGGACAGGGCAACACCCTCTGGCACTGATGATGGTAAGTCCCCAAACACAGAAGGCCCTAAAACCCAAAGCCACGGTTTAGTGGATATCTTCCTGAATATCTCTTTCCTTTACCCAAACTCTTTTGGTATACTGATCTGCTCAACCCTTCCTTAATATGGAAATTTTCAACAAAAGGTGGAAGGACATAAATTACAATGAGGAGATTATGTAGACTCCTATCAATCAGGATTCAGGTCTGGATATAAGTTGCTCTTTTGAATGACTAGTGGTAGGACCTATATAGAGGAAGTATGATCTGGTTCTGTTGAACCTTTTAACAGCTGTTGGTACCATCAACTGTGAGCACTTAGATTTTAAGGCATATGTTGCAGTGGTTCTTCTCTTGAGTGGGTTGTTCCAGTCAGTGAGGGAAGGAAAGATCATACCCCCAGGGCACTCCAAAATGAAGAATTACGAAGTGTGGCTTTTTATTTAATATATACTATTGATAGTAAATTATCTTTACTATTCAATATTTACATGAAGCTGTTGGGAAAAATTATCCACCAGTATGTGCCTATGGAGATTCTCAGTCATCCATATCATGGTTGTCCCAAAGGTTCTTTTTCAATAGGCAATTGGACTTTTCCTTGAAGAGGCTTCGCTTCTAATCCAAGATTCTTCAGAACTGAAGTTTCTTGGATGAGAAGCAAAACATCTTCAACAAAACACAAAGAAGTCCAGCTGCTTTTTGAAAAAGGACTTTTGGGATATCCAACAGTACAGGATGAGATGCTGTCAGTACATTGATGATCCCTAGACATACATCTCTGCTCCAAGCTAGACATTAGATGTGAATAAAATTCTATCTTGTGCCTGAAAGTAGTTAGATACTGGTTGGGAAGAAACAGGCTTAGAGTGGCTGTTGATTCAAAAGCTTTGACTCTGACTTCTAGATAGAGTCATGCTCCGTTATTACAAGAAGACTTGTCATCCAATGTTCTCCTGGACTCACAGCTCCTACTGGCAGATTAGGTGGAAGCCATGGTCAAATCTCTGGATTTATGGCAGCTTTTCCTAAAATTAGAGGTTTGTTGACAGTCATGACTTCTTCATATCTAGATTTTTGCAATTCAGTCTACATGGGTTGCCATTGATGATTATTCAATAGCTACAAATGATTCAAAATGCAGCAGACACATACTGTGTGGCCCAGGCTGTACTTATGCTACCCTTGGGAGAGCTAATTAGTTGTCAAGTAAACTTCCAGATGCAATTCAAGGTGCTAGTTATCACTATAAAACTATACAGGGCTTATAACTCTGTTATCTCTCCATCTGGAAGGCTTTTGTAGATGTAATCAATGTATGCTTTCACTGTTCCCAATCCTGAGAGGATGTGGCAGTCATAATGATATTTTGTTGCATGCTATTTTATATTTGTGTCTTGAATTTTTAATTATTAGAAATGGGAATTGTTTCATATTGAAGTAGCAAAAAACACAAGCAAATGTTTGTGTCACTTCATGTTAGAATACTTTAGTCAAATAACAGTGAAAAATGAATCTATATATTGGATATATTAATAGTATGAACACTTTTATAAAACTTTAAAGGGCCTGAGCATAATGCTATTAGATATGATTTTAAAAGCATACCTGAGTTGAATTTTTGTCTACATAAATGTGGACAACACCTCCATGCTTGTTACATTCTTCAATCACATCATCTTTAATTTCTGTATCCCAGCCAGCTTCTTCTTCACTGCAGAATAAGTTAAGAAGGCAATAAACCTATGCCTTTATACCAAATAGAGAAAATTTTTAGAAAACTACATCAGGTTAACTTACGTTTGGGGATTAAACATATTGGACAGTTGAAAGCATTGTGTTGCAAGTGGTTGTACAGAAGCAGCTGCAGCTAAGACTGAAGAAGAAAACATAGCATGACTTTTCAGTTATTTTTATTTTGGTTTACCTATCAGCTTTAAAAATATATTATTATAATATACAGTATAATTCTGTTATGAAATGCAATTCCTCATAAGCAAAGATTTTCATTCTGAATCCATAAGCTAACCATGAAAGAAGTCTATTAACTCAAAAGGCAAAAATAGTATCAGTGAAGGCACTGCCTCCCAAAAGGAATTCCCTAGCCCAGTGGTTCTCAACCTGTGGGTTGGGACCCCATTTGGGGTCGAACGGCCATTTCACGGGGGTCACCAAACAACGCAGTCCGCCATTTTTTCCCCCTTTTCCTTAGCTGTGCTACTCCCTTTTATTCTATTGGCTTTTGAAAGTCAATAGAATAGACTCTCTTGAATAGAGTCTAATTCTATTGGCTTTCAAAAGCCAATAGGAATTGTCCGGGCTCTCTGCCCTGCTGAGCCTGCCAAAAATCCCATTCTGCAAACGGTGCTGCACCAGTTGAGTAGTCCTCGACTTACGACCGGTTGAGTAGTCCTCGACTTACAACCGGTTGGGGGGGGTCGCGGCATTAAAAAGGTTGGGAACCACTGCTCTAGCCGTTCTGCTGTTTTTGTGTAGTCAATTGTTTCTACATTTTCCCATTTACATATATATGGTTCATTTTGAGGGAATAGGTGACTGATGGGTAGCCCATAAAATTCCTCCCCATAATTAGGGGTGGCTTTTAGTAACATAGACAAGTTTTTTTCAAAAATTCAGTGTGGATCAAGGCCAATCCAAAATGTTTATTTAAGTTAACGAATTATAAGTCTGCAGACTCACTGAGTATTATATTAAAGGTTCATAAGGCAAAAAGCACCAGTATTAATGTAAATTGCAGAATTACAGAATCTACTAAAAGCCCCTTACTCAATCACAAATCTGGGAATGGGACAAGTATACTCAAGATTCGTCAGTTAGACCTGAAACAGGCCTATCCTATACAAAAGTGTTCTATAATTAAAGATTGAAATTGTTGGTGGAGGATGTTTTCTAATCTGGCAGATTATCCAAAATAATACTTTAGAGCAACAGATCAGTATATCACATATATCAAAAATATTTTACAATAGGGCTTACCAATTCAGTACTTAACCTCAGATCAGGCAAACAAAATGTTTAAGCAAACTCTTGGAAACAAATACTGAATATCTTGCATTCAACTGTTTTATTTCCTCCAAAGAAACTATTGGGTTATTTTCTCCAAGGATTAAGCTTGTCTGTTACCAGCAGGATCAAGTTTATAGTAATAATAGTAATAGTAATAGTAATAATAATAATAATAATAATAATAATAATAATAATAATAATAATAATAATAGTAAAGTTGGAAGGGACCTTGGAGGTCATCTAGTCCAACCCCGTTAAGATCGTCCAACTGAGAAGTCTTCTAATAGATCAAACTAGGATAATATGAAGCTGTCATTAACATTTAACTGTATTTAAACTGCTTTCAATTGACTAATTAATAATAAAAGTAATAAGCAAGTAGTCAGATATTTCTGATCCTGGCTTTTTGCTTCAGTTGTGTGTTTTCATTTTTTAATGTAGTTGGCATTCTGTCTGATTATGTACTACCAGATATATAACCCAGACATTTGCTTCTACCTTTGATGGCTCATTCTTGATGACATGTAAAGATTTCAGTTTACACAAGTTTCAGTTTATGGGTTTCAGGGTCAAGTGATTGCAGTAATGCTCTGGCATATTCTGATATGCTGCTTGCATATTGCAATGTTACTGTGGAGGTCCACGGGCTGTCTTACAAATGTTTGGTTGTGTTATTACTGTTTTTCCTGAATATGCCAAAGTGACTGGGACAATAGGAGGAGGAAGATATGTTGCATATATTTGCCATTTTGAGTTATTTGTAAAAATTATGAAGGCAAGACACAAATAAATAATTATAAATAAGGCTCACATATCTGTAACCTTTAACTGGCAAAATGGTAGAATAAATGCTTTTCCCTTTTCTTATCCAATAGAAGATAATGTCTGAAATTCTGAGATTACTTCTAATAAATGGCAAGCAAGCTAATGGTGACCAATTCCTAAATGATGTACAATATTCAAATTAAAACTCACCTTCACTTTGCTGAGACAGTCTTGTCTGTAAATCTGAAAAAGAACATTGGAAAATTTTAATACTCTTGCATCTTGAGAAGAGGCTTCACACTCGATAGAAAATGATAAGTACAGGTGGTCTTCTGGTTATGGCCATTGGCCATTCAGTGACCGTTCAAACTTAAATGGTGCTGAACAAGTAGTAGTCACGACCAGTATCCCTATGGTCATGTGACTGTGATCCAAGCATTGAGTGGCCAGCTTGCATTTACCAGTGAGCCAGTGTCACACAATCACAATTTCTGACATCCCCTGCTATCTTCCCACAAGCAAAATCAATGGGAAAGTGGGCAGAAAGAAATGGGCAGGAAGTCATGGTCACATGAGGTCTTCAATTAATAACTGTGCAGTCCTTATTTAATGATGGGACTGCTGTTGCTAAGCAATACAGTCACAGGACATCCCGCTTTACAACTGCATCACTTAGCGACAGCAATTCCAGTCCCACCTGCTGTCCTAGCCTGAAGTAACTTTTTCATTATTTATTTATTTATTTTTATTTAATTTATTTATTTATATTCCGCCCAATCCCAAAGGACTCAGGGCGGCGTACAAAATTAAAACAATCATCAAGAATAAGACAATAAAATAATTCAATCATACCGCAAGTCCGATCATGTCCCGCCCCCCCCCCGGGGACATCAGCCCCAGGCCTGCCGGAACAGGAGAGTTTTAACGGCTTTCTTAAAGGCCGGCAGGGTGGAAGTTGTTCGAACCTCGGGGGGAAGTTGATTCCACCAGGTCGGAGCCACCACAGAAAAGGCCCTTCCCCGAGGACCCGCCAGCCGACATTGTCTGGCCGACGGGACCTGAAGGAGGCCCAATCTATGAGACCTCACTGGTCTCTGGGAACTGTGCGGCAGTATGCGGTCCTGTAAGTAACCTGGCCCTATGCCATGAAGGGCTTTAAAGGTGATAACCAACACCTTGAATTGCGTCCGGAGACCCACAGGAAGCCAGTGCAGCTCGCAGAGGATAGGTGACACGTGGGCGTACCTTGACGCGCCCACAATCGCTCTCGCGGCTGCATTCTGAACCAACTGCAGCCTCCGAACGCTCTTCAAGGGTAGCCCCATGTAGAGCGCATTACAGTAATCCAGTCTTGAGGTGACGAGGGCATGAGTGACTGTGAGTAAAGCCTCTCGGTCCAGATAAGGCCGCAACTGGTGCACCAGGCGAACCTGGGCAAAGGTTATATAAATTCATGATGTATATCCTGGCAAAACAAAAACACTTTAGAAAAGGAGTGCCTGCTTCCAAGTAAGAAGCACACAAAACTGTTATTTAAAGTTATATTTTTCTAGAATAACATCCACATAATAATTTAAAAATTAATTTTACCTGCTACAGCACTAAATGCTAATGATCCACTCATTTGCAGCGCTTGCTGGGCAGCTGGAGGAATCTGTAAACCAGTACCTGGAATAAAAAAAACATTGAATCTATTTTTGGATCTACTTTTAACTAGGACATGCATTTTATAAAGTTCTGAGAATAAATGTGATCGTGTTTAAATCTACTATGAAAATCGTATTAATAAACTCTTCATTTCATTGAAATACTGAAAAATATGATACAATGTCAGATACTGAAAGAAGCAAGGATGACATGCAAACTCGTAAACTGTTAGGGTTAGGGTTAAAAAGAAGCATATAGTACACATTAATTCACTTACCCTCAGCAAGCCTTGCCATCAACTGAAGACGACCAGTTGTTCCCAAATCAATTCCAGTCCTTTCCAATTCATCACTGTCCAAAAATGAACTGGCACTGGATGCATCGGTACGTTCAGTCACATGTCCTACTTTCATTGGCCTACCTGCCAGTTCAAATCCATTTAATTGTTCCAAGGCTTTTTTAGCACATTCTGAGTCTGAAAACTGAAATAAATATATAATTATCATTTGAAGCAATCGTTGCAGCACATTATCTACATTCAATTTAGATACAAAACTAATAGAGGTGGCCTAAACAACAGACAAGAGTATAAAAAGGGTGAAAACCGACAAAAACATTTATGTCTGTTCATTCATTTATTACATGTAGTCTTTGCTTGACCACAGTTGGGACTAAGCAATGAGATTGTTAAGCGAGACATTACATGACTGTGGCTTTTGATTTCACTGCCGGTTTTTCCATTAATTCTGTGTGCTGGATACCAGCTATAAAGTATGCAAATGGTGATCATGATCATGGGGATGCTGCAATAGTTAAGTGCAAGGAATATTCATAAAATTTATTTTTCGGTGCCATCATAATTTTCAACAGCAGCTAAATAGGATAGTCATTAAGTGAGGACTTCTTATACTAACATTTTTATGCTGTCGTATTTCTAAAGGCTCACAGCAGCATGCAGAAAAAAATATTAAAAAAAACATGGGAGAGATCTTGTAGAACATCCCAGATTAATCTCAATATCATCAATTAAAACAAATTGATGGGTGACAAGAAAGATTTCTGTTCAAGAACATATGCCACCTCCATTTAAAACATAATGAGCTACACACATATTATGCAATATAAAAGTTACTTATATGCATTGAAATTATTTTCTAGTTACGATTGATAATAAATTCACTATCATATGTCAACTATATAAACTTACAGTAATAAATCCATATCCTTTGGACCTCCCAGTTTCACTGTCCATCATTAGCTGAATGCTTTCAATCTGAAAAAGATAAAGATTACCTATTAGTTATATATATATATATATATATATATATATATATATATATATATATATATATATATATATATATATATAAAATTAAATAAATATATATATGATGGAGAAACTTTATTTGGAGCCATTTTAGCTATAGCAGGGGTCCCCAACCCCATTACATTAATTACATTAATTGTACATACAAATGCCCAATTACATTAATTGTACATACAAATGCCCAATTGCTAATTTTGACCAATAACACCTAAATCAAACATTATAAAATTACTTCAATTTATTAGCTTATAAGATCAATTTTTAAAGATCTCAATTTAAATTTTCAGAAAGTCACCTACATGTACAGTATAACTCCAGATTTAATAGGGAAATGTTAAAATAATAATATGCACTTATTAAACTTAGACCTATTACTATTTCAGCTTTATATCTCTGAATTGTTCTGATGTTAAAATTCTATTAATCATATAAAACCATATTTACAATGTGTTCTGTTTGGGACTGTTTTGAAGATATTTCGGAAACTGCAGCTGATAGAGAGTGTAGCAGTCTGATTACTAATGGTGGTGACACAGTACTGTAGGAAAACACCAGCACTGTGGTTGCTCAACTGGTAACCACATAGGCTTCTGGGCGTAACCTCAAGTACCTGTAATCACTTTCAGAAGCCTACATAGTTGCTAGGCTATATTCCTTTCCATGTTCCTGTTCAGTTGAAACAATAAGGGAAGACAGGTTCTCTATGTTAGAGGTTAATGGTACTTGGACCACGAGAAAAGCCCATGATTTATAAACATCCTTCTCACATGGAATATTTGCTTCCCTACTCTCCTATTGTATTTCAACTTTGGGCTTAGACTGTCTTGGCTCTATAATGAGTTTGTATTACATTAAAAATTATGATACTATAAGAGGATTTTTAAGCACAGATACTTGTTTGTGTTGAATATTAAAGCACAGATATTGAACTGAAAAAAAAAAATCTTACCCGGCCAAACGGTTCAAAGATTCCACGAAGCATATCTTCAGTTATATTGAAATGTAATGAGCCTACATAGAGTCTCATGGGGCCTGCACTTCCCTTTTGTAAATTATTAGCCATTGCTGCTGCTCTGTTTTTCTCTGCCTAAAAAAATTATATACACAGGAAATACTACAGATTGCTATATACAGTAATATAAACTATGCTGCATTCTACCATGAAACATTCTTAAATATATGCAAAATCCAAATCTTTCTCAGTTATATAAGCTAGAGAACAAACTAGAGAATAAAAACATTTATATTTGAGAGCTATCTGAGAATTAACACAGCTGATACTTTTATTTTTCTTTCAAAATTTTGTTCTATTTTCTGCTAAACGTTTTGTCATATAAACAGTCTTTTATGATTTGTTTGGCATCAAAAGTTAAAGAAAATCATGAACTCTAACCGGAAAGGATTATCTGTCTTTCATATTGAGAAGTTGGCAGAGTAGTGTCTACTGCAAAATTAAACTAAACTCAATTTCAGGATAATCCAAAGTTCCTAGAATTTTTCAGCAACCTTTGACTCCTTACTTCTACCAAATAAAAACAATTGTTACTGATCTTTTCATGTTATCTTCTAAATAAGCCAGCTCCTTGTCTCTTCTAAAGAGAATGGAAACCACTTGTCCTTTCACAATCTTATTTCTCACATAAGCCAGATATATTGGATTTCATCAGCCAAGGTGGAAAAGGATTAAGAGTATCAGTGATGCAGTAAACATCTCCACCAATTTGCATGTATGATGTAATCTAGGATCTGACAAACTATTCCTATCAGTCATAACAGGAAGCTGGGGTTTCAATTAAGGTGTTGAATAATCGTGAAAATAATACAGCTAGTTTTAATAATGTTGACTATAGATAAAGAAACAACACACTAAGCAACATGGTCAACATCTGAGGAATCGTTTAGTCTTATCAAATCAAGTCTTATTTATTAGCACTAAGAAAATAATTCAAGTCAAACTTACCTGAGATGCTTGTACAATAATTGGCACTCCCAAAACTCGCTGTCCAGTTAATCCAATGGCTAAAGGAACTGAGCTGACATCAACAAATTCTACATAAGCAATTCCTTTTGAACGCCTTGAATTTCTATCTGATATCATGCGTACATCACGGACCTAGAAAAAAAGTGAAGTATTGTTTTATATAGTGAAGGCTTTAATGGATTTGCTATTATACATATACATACACACACATAAAATCAAACTGCTACCTGAAATTTTCATATCTGATACAGAATTACTTAGTTTTCTGAGATTTTAACAAGAGAATCCATCCAGATAACTTATCTATTTTGCATTATATATGCACAGTAGGGAGCTTCCAAGAATACACAATATATACTGTATGCATAAAATGGAAGAACCATGTCCATGTAGTAAAAGTAATAATATTGTAACAGTTACATTATACAAGCTACTTTATATATAAAATAAATACATTGATACATAGAAGATTCTTAATTTTCTCAAGAGGCTGGCACTGGATCCCACTGTTCTGGACAACTTTCGCCCAGTCTCCCACTGTGTCGTTTTAAGGAAGGATTCAGACCCAGATATGGGATAGCAGCTTCTGGATGAGCTTTGGCAAGAGCAGTATGGGGGCAGTGCATCCATTCTAACTCTTCTTGACCCTTAGCTGCCTTTGATACCATCAACCATGGTATCCTTTTGGGTTGATTCCGGAGCTGGGAGCTAGTAACACAGCTTGTGGCAAGGCTTTGTGAACCTGGAGGGAGGACAACAGGCTTCAACGGAACCTGGTAAAACAGAGTGGCTATGGGAGTTTATCATCCTTGGTTTTGCATAGGATGGCACTGCTCTAGAAAAATCCAGTAAGTAATCTGGAGGGTCTTCTGGACTCATGACTTCTGCTCAAAGAGCAGGTGGCAATCATATCTAGGAGGGCCTTTGCTCAACTTTAGGTTGTACAACGGCTATGCACTTTCCTGGACTGAAAAGCTGTTCTTTCAGTCACTCATGCCCCTACTCAGTTCCCAGATGAACAACTACAATGTGCTCTATATGGGACTATCCTTGAAGATTATTCAGAAGCTGCAACTGATGCAGAAAACAGCAGTATGAGCAGTTTTTGTGCCTCTAGGATGACAGATGCAAACGAGCTGCACTGGATGCTAGTTTGCTTTTGGGTTCAATTCAATGTGTTAGTTATCACCTTTAAAGCCCTTCAAGATATGGGGACCAGAATACCTGAGAAACTGTCTCCTCCTGATTACATCAGCCTGTGCCATCAGATTAAGCAAGGGAGGGCATGCTGCATGTCCTGTCAGTCAACTAATGGGATCCAGGACGACCTTCTCAGCTGCTGCTCCCACCCAATGGAACATCCTACCCCAGAAATGAGGTGAGCCGCTATTCTTCTAATTTTCTAGAAGATTGTTAAGACATGGCTTAGCATGGTGTGAGGCACAAAAGATCAAGACCAAAAATGAAGTTCCAATTAAGTTGATTTATTGCTAATGATGCCCATGGACAGGAATCTAAGATTAGCACTATCTTGGTACTAGATAAAGGCCTAGAATTTAGGAAAAGGTGAACTTAGTCGGGATGTGGCTACATACACACTTTAGGGGGATTCTTCTTTCACTCTGCCACTTCTGCCATTCCTTCTCCTACACACAGATGTAGGATGCAGTCCTGGTGATGGCTGGTGGTTCAAGGACTCTTCTGCTGTCTTGATAATCTCCTAATCTTTGAATTTTTAAACCCGATTTATCTTCACTTGCAGGTTTTAACCCATTTTAAATGTTTTTAAACTATGCTTTCATTCATATATTAATATGGCTTTATTATGCTGTTGTAAAGTGCCCAGAGTCACTTAGATGAGATGGGTCACGTAGATATTAATAAATAAAATAAAATATCTCAGAACAATCCAGAAGGTATTAAAAAAAGTGTCAAAAATTCTCCATATCATACTTTTCCTACAGTAGAGAAAAATTCTTCCAGGTCTCTTGGCCTAATTCTTGCAGCAAGCTGCATACAGAATACTGTTCGAGCATCCCGTTCCTCTGGAGTAAGATTATCAATAGGCTCTCTGAAAAAAAGAAATTATTAATATTATTATCAATATAAACACATTTAAACAAGATAACTTGACCAGATTTAATTTTTATATTAAGATCACCTATATTCAAATACAGATAAAGATTCATTAAATTGCTTTTATAAGACAGGGGGAATGTACCCTCTGTTTCAAAAGCACAAGATCTACCGTCCTCCTTTCAGAATCAGGATCATCATTTCAGTCTTCACTGTTTTTTTTCCTGAGCAATATATAAATTCTGTCCAAAGGTTTGCATAACTATCTCCCTTGTATTTTCACATGGACTATATTGCAAATGAAGTAAAAGAGCTTTCCTGGACATCTTCCTATTTTAGCTTCAGTTGAATGCTTTTAACTCTTGCACTGGAATATGATTATAGCCAACGCTAAGCTCTCATGCCTTCTCTATTGCAGGACCTGCCCCTGGAATAGCAATTTCCTGAAGGTTTGACTTGCCCTGATCCTGCCATCTTAAGACTCTGAAGCCCTAGCTTTTCCCAGGTACTAGTTTATGGAACTATATGCTCTATGTGGGAAATGTATTAACATGCTGGTTGATTAGCTCTTTTTGCTTTCATTGTATTGGATATGCTTTAAACTTATATGCTGTTCAGTTGACATGAGTGACCTATAAATTTAATAAATAAATATTCAACATGCAAAATGTGCATATAAAATGACATACAAGCATGGGACAAGGAACTGGATATAACAAGAAATTTTGACTCTCTTTAACCCTATGCCTAAAGTAATCTTTGCAGTTTCAGTGGATATATATTTCAAGTATAGGCACCTCACCTATTTACAGCATTATAAAAGTACTTTTAACTTCAATGTACTTCTAATAGATCTCCCATTCTCAGCAAAACATTTTTCTAAACTGCTTTTCCAAAATGTTCACATATCTGCATATTAGCAACACCAGTCTAGAAGAATCCCACTGCCAATTATCTCTACATTCACAGTATGTCTGAGTCTTTTTAAATTTCAAGAGCAGACAATTACAGAGAACAGAATTTTTAAATGACCTATCAGTGTAGAATGCAAATGTGTAGAACATTCAATATGCTATGGAAATTTAACATTAAGCAAGATTCAAATGCCTACCTTACAGGACTCTTGTCTTTTCTGAAAGGACTTTTGCTCCTAGATCGACGTCTGCTGTAAAAAAACATACGGAATTATGAAGGGAATAAATATCAATATAAACCATTAAATCCCTCATTAAACAAAGAAAACAAAACCTTATTTTCATGCTGTGTGGCAAGCCAATTTTTCCTCTCATGGCACTATTGAACTTGGGTCCAGAACTAGGATTAAAGAAAAAAGCAGTATTACATACAGCAATTATCATTCTGTTTGACATTTAACATTAAGAGGTATATTCTTAGTAGTATCATAACCATTAAACTGAATGACTGTAAAACTATCACACTGATATAATTATATTATAACTGAACTTTCTAAAATATTCAAGCTAAAGGTTTTAGTATTTACCTACACTTAAAGAAACCTAAAACAATAGTTTCACACAACTTACTAGGGACTTCTGTAACGGCCTCTGAATCGACGTTCTCTGCTTCTTGAACGGCTGCGTCTCCGTTCTTTACTTCTACTGCGCTTTCTTTCTCGACTCTTGCTTTTCTTTCTTTCACGTTCACGGCTTCGTTTGCGGTCCTTGCTTCGGCTTCTCTTCCTATCATGACTACGACTTCTGCTCTTGCTTTTTTTCCTCCTGAATAGAACAAATTTAAAAAATCAGTTATGTTTTCAAAGAGGAAAAAACATTAACATTAGGCCATATGAAGTAAGATTAGGTGGCTTGAAAAATATTTGTCAATTTTAAATAAATATTAGATATTTTAATGAAAATAACAGCAATCAATTATACAACTACCTGTAAATCTCACAATTAAGAAACATATTTAATGATAAAAGCAAAGCCATTTAGGTGAAAAACATATTTCATATCAAGTGAATATATTGCTGCTTTAATCTTTACATTTCTATTTCCTTACTAGAAGGTTTTCTCAGTCACAAAAGACAAGTTTTAAAAATTGCAAATAATTATACCTACCAAGTTCCTTTCTAGGAAATTCAGCTTCATAACTGTGTCTGCATTGTTCATTTAATGACACTGGTTTTTCACTCTACTGCCTGTGTATTGTTAGATATGTTCCAAATGGCCACTGGAGCCAGTGGCTTGGATCCAAAGGAGCCCTTCCACTAGAGAAAAGCCTCTTCCACAGAAGGGCTGTTTCCAACCTAGCAGAAGAGCATTACGTGAGAAATGTGAACCAAAATTGAGGTAAGATGATTTATATAAATTACTTTAGACTTCCTCATAGCCCACAAATCCATTATAGCTTAGCTTCCATATTCAGTGTCCTCGCATTAGAAATACCTCCCCATATATTTTGCTTTAAAGAACTGGGATTTTTTTCCATGAAGAGTTAATCAAACACAACCAATGTTTCTTTGGCTCATAATTATCTAGATCCAAATCAGGTTTTTGAACTCCTACTGTTAAGTATGTATTATATAAATGCAGTATTCTTATTAGCAACATTCTACTAACAAATATTGGTTAACTATTTAACCTCCAAATACTGCTAAATTTGACTTCATGAATACAAATATGAATGCAAACTGTATGTTTTATAAACACCTCAATAGAAACGACAGAGAGATACCAGTGAAATAGCTTGTGGCTGCTCCATCACTGGAGGTTTTTAAGAGAGACTGGACAGCCACTTGTCTGGAATGGTATAGGGTCTCCTACTTATGCAGGAGAAATTGGGTTGGACTAGAAGACGTCCAAGATCTCTTCCAACAGTTATGCTGTTATTCTGCCAAAACCAAATTTATTTTTTTACATAATTCCTACAAGTCTGACCAAGACGCAAAACAACACAATTCTAAGATCTAGAAATACTACTGCAATTTAATATTGTTCCTATAATCTAAATATTCTGTTTTCAGTAGTAGAAATAAAGCTCCCAGTGAAAACAAAAGTACATTTCCAATTCCAATATGCACAGCAGGCAAGGTTTAAAAAATAACCAACAGTTAATACAACTGTGATACAAGCTCAACTACACACCTAGGATCTAAGGGTCAATAACAAAGCAGGTTTTCAAGGTTTTATGAGCACTCAGCAAAACCAGGGCAAGTCTAATCTCTGGGACAGGGGTTGGCAATTAATTTCCCCCCAAAAGTCCACATGAGAAATTTGTATTGTTGTGGAGGGTCAAACCAATAGGCTGAACTTAATTCTGCTGCAGGCACTCACATGTTGAAAGAGGGAGCGCAAAGCCTTGCCTCATCTTGGCTACTGCTCTGCCACAGATGTCGAGAAGTTCTTTCTCTCACCAGCTGACTAAAGGAGCACACTTGGCTTTTTTCCCTGCCTTCTGTGGCATGACTGTTTACACTTATTTTCTAATTTCCAACTGATGCAGCTGAATGGGGCAGTGAAAGGGCTGGATGTGGCCCAGGAGCCATAAAATGCCCAGGTCTGCTCTGGGGAAATCTTGTTCTACAGGGCATGGCTTTGTTTCTGGATTTCGCCAGATGACATTTCCTAATGAACTGGACCCAAAGCATCCCTATCCTGTGAGATCTAACAGAAAAGTAAATACAATAGGGAAGAGCCATTCCTGCAAATAACCCAGTTGCAAGCCTTTATAGGTAACTACTACAACCTTCAATTGAAGCCAGAAGCGTACTGGCAATTAATGCAGCTTGCAGAGCACATGCTGAATAAGGACCTTTAATTGCCCAGGCTGCCATATTTTACATCAGATGAACCACAGGCGTCAAACTCGATCGTGTGACGTATCATGACTGTTTTTGTCTTTGCAGAGTGGGGTGGGCATGGCTTGCACGTGACACATCTAGCCCACAGGCCGCCAGTTTGACACCCCAGAGCTGAACCTTCAAAATGCAGCCCCATTTAAAGTTTTTTTGCAGTGGTCCAATTGGGAGGTGACCAAGACATGAAGGACTGTGAGTACAGCCTCCTGGCTGAGCAGTGGATGTCAACTGGTGCATAATAGCTATGCAATGGTTCTCCTAGCCATGGCTGTCACCTTTTCTTTGAGCTGCAGGAGGAATACCCCCAACTGTGCATAGGTTTTGCCTGAGGTAGTGCAATTCCATCCAGAACAAAAGATAGAAAGTCTCCCAAACTGGGGGGTAAACTATGTATTCTGTTCTAGGTCAAACAATTTAAAGCAAAAGTGCTAATAGAAAATAGCACTTCATTTTATTTTAGTACTTTAAAATGTCTATACAAGTAGCCATCGACTTACAACAGTTTATTTAGTGACTGTTCAAAGTTACAATGGCTCTGAAAAAAGTGACTTATAACCATTTTTACACTTATGACTGTTGCAGTATCTCCATGGTCACAAGGTTAAAATTCAACACTTGGCTCATATTTATGATAGTTGCAGTGTCCTTAGGTCATGTGATCATCTTTTGTAACTTTCTGACAAGCAAAGTCAATGGGGAAGACAGATTCCCCTAACTGTGTTACTAACTTAACTGCAATGATTCACTTAACAACTGTGGCTAAAAAGGGCGCAAAATGGGACAAAACTCACTTAACAAATGTCTCACTTAACAACATAAATTTTAGGCTCAATTGTGGTTATGACTCAAAGACTACCTGTACCCAATTTCTAAATAGTAGTTTAAGTCAATTTCTTCAATATTGACATATACTGTACATAACCTAGTGTGCTAAATATTTCACAAGATTTATTATACCTAAATTATTTAACCCCATGAAAAAGCTTCTACACAAGACATGGGGAATCCAGGTCCCTGAAGTTCCCTGTGACTAATTAAAACTAACATCAGTGTTTTCAAATATTTGTGAAACAAATATATCACAATGTAAAAACTAAAAATCATGAAAACACTGTGCAAGATCCCTGATGACTACATGTTGTAATGGGATCATAGCTACTCCATGGTCCTCAACTCTTTTAAAAAATGATATAGTTCAAACTTTGGGGATTATATTTGGAATTCTGAGATTACATTATATAAGCACTTTCACACTGCAGTTGCCATAGAATGTGTATTCATCACAAACCCATATAATAAAAAATGATAAAGCACCAACTTGTATTAATCCATTACTTCATGTCGTCTATGCAGGACCCATAAGCACTCTTTAGTCCTCGATTTACAACCATAATCAGTACTGGAACTTCCATCACTAACCAATGCAGTCATTAAGTGCATTGTGCCCGAATTTATCTATAGCCATTTCATTCCATATTGCATGGAAAGCATTCTTGTACTACAAAACTAATTTTATAGAAAGTGGCTCATTCATCCCTTTCCCTCTGATGCTGCCATTTTACATGAAAAACTAATTCTTTAATTTTGTGTTGCTTAGCCTAATATAAAGGTAATCAGAGCTTTTTCTTTGCAGTACAAAGCCTTGATCCAAATATCTGTGTCTGACTTCCAGCAAGTGAAATAATTAATTATAAAGGAGAAGCCAAGCAAAACTAATATCCTGGCAGATAATTAAACAAAAATCTTTACGTAGCTTGCAAATTCTCAAACAAAGATTCTGGGTCTTTTATACAATCTATAATGTGTATATTCATTACTTAAACAGAAAGTTTCTATAGGAATATTTTTCCCAATGACGAGGAATTTAAACCAGAATGATACAAACAAGGTTGTAATTTATTGTTTTCATAATTGGTCCTAAGAAAACTGAAGCTTACTGAAACAGCTTCATGACTATATGAAAGTGTGTGTGTGTGTGTGTGTAAAAGGTTACAAAAACAACGCTCCCTAGTCTTTTGAGGCCAATGAGCAGACGTCATTTTGATGTTCAGAGATGGCTGCTACAATAGGTGTGACTTGCCACAAACCACAACCTTTATCAGGGAAGCAAACTGTGTTTTGCTTTCTACCATTCTCTCTAGTTCTTTGCAAATACTGCTAACTCTAATAATATTTTTTGTCTTTTTTGGGGTAGGTAGGGCAAAGCATTGGTTACAACTACAATTCCTTTTCATTTCTAGAAAGCATGTAGAGACTACTTAGTATTCAAGGTCAGCTTGGAAACAAAAAAGATTTTGGAGGATGATGCTTTTTAGCATGCCAGCTTCCTTCTTCATTTTCTAGGAGCAGTCTCACACTTTCTGGCAACACTTGTCTTCAATTTTCTTTTCAGAATTAAAAAAATCGCTACTTTAATTATTTCCTACAATATAGCTCAGCGGTTTTCAACCTTTGTGTGACGGCGACTCCCGTCACACGGACGCGGCGCCGCCCTGAGGAGGAAAAATGGCGGATCGCGATGTTTGGTGACCCCCGTAAAATGGTCGTTCGACCCCAAATGGGGTCGCGACCCATAGGTTGAGAACTGCTGATATAGCTATTTCCTATTTTCTATAATATAGATATTTTTAAAGGTCTAATTAAATCTACAGGAACTACTCCTAAATACCAAAATATTTAAAAAGAACAGATAAGTTAGTGAATATACCTTCAAAGCCTACGAATTCACACTATGTAAGTTATAGATAACTTTTGCTTCATGTAAATACATGTTCTGTCTTATCACATTAAAAACAGCTTACCAGACAATTCAATATAAAACATTTAAGACAAAATTTTCTTTAAAAAGAGGATTTAAAATATGGGGAAGAAAGTTAGGATAAAGTTTTATTGATCACTTTACAGATTGCAAATATACTACAGAATTGCTGAAATTGAAATTGATATTGTTTATCCCTTGAATGGAAAACTTAATGGGAGCTCCTGAGAACAAAATACAACTAAAATAATTATTTTACTTAATTAATTTGAAAAATCAACAGAAAAAAGCTCCTTATGTTTATAAAGTAAATCAAACAAGCAAACACATTACAAAACCTCTATCTTTAAACTATTGTAAAAATAGTAAGATAAAGTAACATTTAATTTTAGCCTAATACTGTTATGATCTAATTATATAACTAATGGACAGAAATATCGATAGTTTATTAATGACCTACAATTTCAAGCCTCATTTGATTTTTCTGAAGGAAAAGAAAAAACTTTCCTCCATTCAAAATAAGCAGCAAAGTCGCATAAAATCTTCCTGCCAAGATATTTAATAGAAGAATTTTAATTAATCAGAGCTGGTAGAAAAACTGCAGAGAAATACAAGTAGTCCTCACCTTACAATCATTCAATGACCATTTGAAATTACCACCTCACTGAAAAAACACATACCACCGTTGCAGCATCCCCATGATTACGTGATCAAAATTTGGATGCTTGGCAACCGGTTCATATTTATGATGGTTGCAGTGTCCCAGGGGCATGTGATCACCTTTTGCAACTTTCTAACAAATAAAGTCAATGAGGAAGTCAAATTTACTTAACAACTGTGTTACCAATTTAACTGCAGTGATTTACTTAACAACTGTGGCAAGTAAAGTTGTAAAATGGGGCAAAACTCAATAACTGTCTTATCAATAGAAATTCTGGACTTGATTGTGGTCATAAGTTGAGGACTACCCATACAGCCCAATTATGGTTAGGGTTTCTTCTGGCTGAGGAATTCTGGGAGTTGAAGTCTACCTGCTAAGCTGCCAAACTTGAGAAACACTGATTTTTACAGAGGAAAATATATACACAAATCTACACGTGTTGCCCCATTTCAAATAAAATTATAAATTATAGGAGTAGGAAATGCTACCATCCATTAGAAAAGACAGTAAAACTAAATAATGTTGGCTGCTCTTTAGATTTAGGCAGATTTCACATGACTAAGTCAAATCAGGGCCCTTTATTAATTACTCTTCTAGCTGTAATTCAAGCAACGTGCTTTTGTTATATTCTAAATAAATTTGCAACATAAAAGGAATTCAAACAATTAGAGGTCAAAGTCTATAATGGCATTGCCAAATCTATTTTACAATTTATCACTGTTAATTGTATTTTGTTTTCACATACAGAATAATCTTAATTTAAAGCACAAGGTATAAGAACCTGGGATCACATTTGAACACTCTACTAATATAATGTAGCAGTAGTTAGATTTTTAGCCTCTACAGAAGCAATATTTCATCATTACTACAATTACTTTTTCTCTGCCACAAAGCTACTTATCTTTCTGAACTGGGTCCTTGACTTTTCTGGTGTACAGATTGAGCAGCTAGAAATGCATTAGCAACCTAGCTTAGCTGCCAAGCTCCAAATAAAAAACCTATGACTAACCCCCCCCCCAAAAAAATCCTCTAATGAAGATAGGCAAGATATTGGGATTTGAGTTAATGCCTTCTGTAATAACTTCAACATTATGAAATAATTAATGTCCCGTTTAAACTAATTTATGTATATTTCTCAAAGTGAAGTTTTCCAAAAAGAGTAGCTAAAGTAGCCTACAATAGGAATAAAACCATTCCATGATATTTTGAAGAGTAAAAACCTATGAATTTCTACAATTAGAACAGTTTACTTTAGCTGGAGATTCACCTACAAAAATTTAATAAATTGCTTCCCTTCATCTTTAAAGCACAGAATTTTTTTCTAGAAGCAACATTTATTCCAATATGGTTATATGGCCTGCAAGAAACATATACAATTGAAGGAGCCTAAGGAAAGAATGAGAGAGTTAGACTTTCTACTATGAAAGTCAAAAGACCATCATAATTTCAAGTTAAGAGTAATTAATATAATCCCATTACCTCAAGAAGCAATAAATATTACTGTAAAAGCTCAGTTTTCTAAATGGACATTCAGTTGGTGAACTTCATATGCAAGCGCAAAATGTTAATTTGGACTTTTTCAGACAATGTTCATATCTACATAATTTTGTAAGCATTTAAACTATGTAAAATGTTGGAGTTAAAGAGACAATCCTTCCCCTTCAATTAGTTCATGAAATTGAGATGATGTTGTACTGTATGTTTTCTATCCTAAAAAGGTGGACTCTTGTTTTGGAGAAAAAGGGGGACAAATGCTGGGGGAAGAATTATGTTAAAATATTCAAATGTATACAAAACCATTTGCTATTTTTGTACTATTTTAACCAATCTAAAAAGTACATTACCAAAACTGAAGAAGGGAGGTTAAGTATCCAAATTATGAATCTAAAATGTAAATGCTTTATTAAGCAAAAGTATATATTTAAAGAGCCAACAAATACTTACTTCTTACTTCGCTCTTCATGTCCATTGGCACTGCTCAATTTGTTCTCATCCTAAGCAGGGTTGATAGAAGAACATCATGAGGACGAAGTGGAAACATTTCAAGTGGTCAAAGGGTAATGGGGGCAGGGATAAGAAAATACAAAACAAAAATTTAATACTAAATTTTATATTTAATATGGGATGCTACTAATTAAGGTAGACTTTTTAACCACTTTGCTGTTTACATTTAAGTCCTACAACTATAAATAGAAAATTTACTATTTAAAAAGGTTTTAAATTGTACAAACTTTCTTTATAATGAAATAAAGCCATCCTGCAGTTTCCAGCACTGAAGTGGTTAAAGGATAAAATATAACAAGAAATACCAAGTTTAAAAGCACATTCATATACTATAATCCCTTTTGACCAATACCAAGGCTATATTTCTGCCTAAGCCCCAAGTGACCAAGCTAGCAGCCAGCCACTATCGATTTCCTGTGACCGATGCCATTCCTGAGATCTTCGCCCATTTTCGTTGGAGGGTTGGGACTGTAAGAGCTTGATGCCACCTCTGTCACACATCTCGCCCTGAAGCAAACAGGGATTCACACTGCTTTAGTAATGTCGACTCCCAAGTCATTCATCAAAAATCCAACCAGTCCAGCCTAAATATTTCCTATTTCCAAACCTGTTTACATGGAAAATATCCATGTTAAACTAGCATACAATATACTTAACATTACAATTTATATTCATTTCAAAATTTTACGTTAAGTACTAATTACATAAAACTAAAACATGAACATTTAAAAGGTTACAACACTTTTCCAAATCTCATATCAAAGAGCTGCACTAAATATACTCCAAAATCAACTAACAGTTGCTGTTATGTTTATTGTAGTTATCACACCAGTTACACCATGAGTTCAACTGCACATTAAGTTTTAAATGTATATGTATATATAAATTTGTGAAGCCAGTGCTACTGCATGCATAATTTCAGTTTTATGAAGATCTGGTGAAATCTAAATATACTTGCTCCCTGTTTAGTTCTGAAGCTAGATACTCAGTATTCAGAAGCGCAGAAAAGGTACATTAAAGATTTCTAAGAAATTAATAGATAAAAGAGTACTCTGTCACAATGAATGTAGTTCAAAATATCTTTCATATCTACTATTATGTGAAGTATTCAGGGATCCAAGAATTTTGGAAACAACTTTCACATAACACTTTGATTACCGTCTGGTATTTCTAAAAGATTAATAACCCATCCTTTAAAAAAAAAAGCTGTAACTCCTCTTGCATTAATAAGGATTTGCTTGTCATGAACTTAGGGAAAAAGTTATTCTTGGAACCCTGCTGTTTGCCCAAACCTTTGCATTCACCTTGTCGGTCTATCAAAATTGAGGTGGTAGTTTTTAGGAGTGTTTTTGTTTCTTTGTTTGTTTGTTTTACCTAGGGGGACCACGGTACAGCGATACGTCACTCAATTACTACCTTATGATTGACAGTTCACACTGGAATCAAAGGTGAATTCATGGGAGTAGAGGTGAGATATCGTTAGGCAAGTCTACAAAGAGAGATAGATGGGCATTTATTCATCACGCTGAAGTGAAACTACTGCACAATATAATTACATTAACAGCATTTAGTTACTGGTAAGATACACTTAATGCATGTCCAATAAGATAAATCATGAGGACTCCTGGGATGTTAGTTTATAGTTCAGCAGTAGTTTCATGAATAATGCTAAATGAATATTGCTAAAGAATTTGTTAGCATATCTTCTCACCTTCTTAAAGGGGGCTTCAAGCATTGCTTCAATATCAATATCATCAGCCATTTTTCAGGACACCTAGAAAAAAATAACAAGATCCTTTAGTTAAGAATCTACTTCCATATTTGTGATTAATTTAAGATTTTGTGGTACCACATTTCCAAAGGATGTTGCTCTAGAAATATACACTAAGTACAGCTAAACTGAACTTATCCCTGTGTTTAGTACTTTTCTTTCAAAGAATAAATCTGTTCTTATCTTAGAAGTACTTCATAAATATGTATTCTACCCAAGTAAGCTTATTCTTAATGAAATGAATTTATGAGTTTAAGGAACCACAACAAGATTAGAAAAAAGAATCTAAAAGTAGATTAAGAAAATAAATTGTTTATTCAATATAATTACCAATTTATTTAAAAACCACAATATATTATCTTAATCCACTATTGAATTTCTCAATATAGATTTCACAAAATCATTGCTACATGTAGCTCATATTGCCACTGTGGTATAGAAATATTTTTTTCAGCTTCCTTGTTCCATACCAAACCTGGATTTTAATCATGGGGAAGCAATGAAAGGGATACAGATCATGAACAACCGGTAAAAAATCCTGTAATGGAAGTAGATAATGATTTTTAAAGTCTGATCAAGTTACTATCCTTAACCACTGGGATTTGTGAAATTGTGCTCTTGACAGTTGTATATGTTCTTCTAAGTAAACAAAATGGAATGTTCATTATTATTTTTGGTTCCTTACTTCAAGAGTCTATTCATCTAAAATACTTCCTTAAAAATTATTTCAAATGTAACTCATGTTGTGCTATTATTGCCTTACCTCCAAGATGTGGGAGAAACATCCCTATGATGGAAAAAAGCTCATTAGAGCTTCAGTTTGGAAGTTCCTCATGAATTAGATGATTTCCTATCCCCCGAAATCTGCCATGAATCATTGACTCCTTGGGTCAAAAATTCGAAACAGATTAGTCAAGCTATTTTAATAATCTCTTATATGGAATTAGCTAGTATAGATTCTCAGATGCAAACTGGTCAATGCCATAGCGGCAAATGTAAGCTGCCAAATCTGCCATAACAATTATGACCAAGTACTTAGTGAAATGGAAAAGCTTACAAGTGGCAATTACTGTACATAGATGAAACCAGAAATTTCTAAATACAGATGTGCATATTATCTTTTTTACTACATTTTAAGAAAATAGTGTAAAAATGGAATATGTTATGTGATGTGATGCATGCTCATTACTGAATTCAGGAAATATGAAAAGGAGATCTGCCTTCCATTACAGCAACAATTATGTTTCTATTCAGATCTCCTATATAATGTACCATTTCAAACTGATGTAACACCTTCTGTAACAATTAGTAAAAATGGCTGTAATAATTTTTCAACTTTTTCAAAAAGTAAAAATGCATATGACACATATTCCAAAGTGATTATAAAATCTGTAGTTTGTGAAGTTATTTGGATCCAAAGTGAGTCACATATTTAAAGAAATGTGGGGATACAAAATGCATTTATTGGCATCTCCCAGGAAAATACATGTTTGAGTAAACAAATATGTATTTTTGATAAGCCATACAGTCTTTACATTTGAAAATGCATAATTGCTTTGGACTCAAATAGCTGCACATTGCTATAAATTTGCTATTTAAGTCAAGTCCAGAGAATTTCTCAGGAAAACTTTCAGTTAATGTAGACTCCAATGTAATGAAAATAATATTAAAGCTGCCTCAATCAACTTCTGTCATGATACTCAATTTATAGAACTACTGTGCTCATATATTATCTACCTCTGAAACAAATATCTACCAAAAGATATAACTGCTACTGCTATGTAGAAAGCAGTATCTTCAAAATTCCTGTATTTAAGTATCATCATCCAGAATGTCCCATTAAACATTCAGCCCTATAGGAAGAGAAAAGAAGCAGTACTATGTAGAAAACATTTCTAAGCATGTCACAGAAATAAAATTAGGGATATACTTTAAAATTATGTCCAGAAATTGATTAAATCTGTAGCAAATAATTTCACATTGGTATAATTTTTAAAATGATAGTATGAATAACTATAACTACACAAATCAATAAGTTGCAACACAACATATTAAGAATCCAAAGGTCATAAACCTGTTGGAAAACTAACAACTAAACCTAGCAAATAACCCATCTCATGGTATTTGGATGAAAATATACCTATTTGCAGAAAAATATTGCTTAGGTTTTAGTATTTGTATATGTAGCAAATTGTGATCTTCTCATGCTACATTTTAGGTTAAAATAAAGTACACCTGCATTTTAAAATATTTTCAACATTATCCTAAGTAATATAGGGAATAAAAAGCATGAGATAGGGGAATGTGACTTTAAACAAATGCTACAGAGTTTGACATTGGACAATTTAGCAAACTTATATTAAAGGAAACATATCCTCAAACAAAACACTATTGGAAGATCTGCAAATTTATATATAGAAAGAACAGAATTCACTAAATGGCCCCCCAAGTATCTTCTAAAGATTTATTCTATTTCTCTCTGCTTGAACATATAAAAGTTCCATAAGATAATCTGATTAACAGACATTATGAATTATATTTTTAGAGCTGTTGAAATAGGTCTACACTATATTACAGTATAAATACTACCCTATATTACAGAGCAGTTCAAAGATAAATTTAAAAACTTCTCAAGCATTTAAGAGAAATATCAGTTATTCATGGAAATATTGGAAGAGGACTGTTAAAAATGCTGGCTTTCAGCATAGTAAAAACAGCACAGCAGGAAAAATATAGCAGTTTAAAAGACAGCATTAAATAATATGCTCATAGAGAATAGTATCTTTTATTCAGTACAGTATCATCCAAGTGTTTTTTTACAAAATGAGTTATAAATAATTTGAACAATAGAATGCATAAGTTTTGAAGGCAAGTATTATAAATTGAATACTTTATCTGTTTTCGTAGATTAAAAAATGACCTAGTCCAAATAGAGTAATTCAAATATCCCAGGCTATATAACTAAAACTACCCAAGTAAACAGGAATATTAAAATATATATTTAGTCTCTTAACAAGGAAGTCAGAACTGATGGTATTCACGTAAAAGCCTTTCCTAGGTTAAAATATAAATTATAACTTGTATATTAGAGTGTTATGGATTGTAGTTTTTGTACTAGATAGATATACACACACATACATATACATACAGAGCACAGATATTTATTTTCCATCTATTAAAGATACACTCATCTGACCAGTTAAATACTAGTTTTGCTTCTTGGCAATCTGGGTATTTAGTCCAAATAATCAATTAAAATAAAACCATATAGATAATACATTTTCAGAAGCAATATCCAGTTCAACGGATCATGATCCACCTAAGACATAGCAGAGCAATGTACAATTCACACAATAAAGTTCAGGTATAATTCTCTAAAGAGACCCTGCTCCCACACCCAGGTTGCAACAAACCACTTTTGAAACTTTTCCGCATTTCAAAATTAGTTTGTGACTTAGCATGAGAGTGAGCTAACTACAAATTAAGATCAGATTTTTAAGCAACGTTGGGATTTCTTTTATTAAAAACTGTCTAATTACATGAGTGAAATATTTTCAAATTGTCAAGCAAAAAATGCGTTCATTTAAAAATACCTACAAACTACACATTTTTGGGAAACAAACCACGTGTACGGATTTCACTTGTGCAGATATATGGAAAGTTCGTTTTCCCCTCCCACCTGAACATCTTCGGCCCAACAACTATTCAAAAAAAAAAAAAATACCACAGTAATAAACAGAACTTTCTACTCTCCTTGCAGTAGTTATTACGATGACTCTTTACTAAGCGCCCTTATTCTCTCGGGTCATCAGCCTTTCGTTAATACACAACAGCACACACTGCGAAGTTTTAAGGCCCTTCCCGCGAAAATATCTAAAGCAATAAAGAAATAGTTAGGAATCTTGTGGCGAAATATATCCCGATCGTAACCATGAAAGAAGAGCTCTACTCCACGAAACCTTCCGCGCGAAAATAAACACACAATTTCCAAAACTAAATCATATCATTCGACTTCCCTCGTTTTCTCCCGCCACCCCCGGGCACCCCGCAGAGGCCTGCACCACCCCACAGGAACTGGGATTTCCAGTCCGGCTGACCAGACTAGAATTAAATCGAAGACAAAAAGAAATGGGCCCGCCACCGGGAAGGCCCAACGCAGACAGCCTTAAACCTTGCAGAACCCACGCTATCATTTCTCCAGAATAGTTCATAAAAGAGAGCCGTCAAAAATATGAAAGCTATTACCTGCGTTGCCGGCCTCTCGCTTCTGGCCCAGGTGTTTATGAGGCGGAGGGATACTGCCACGGCCGTCGTTTGTTTCCCTGGGTCTGGATACGCGTGAGGAGGGGCGCTGGCCCTTAAACAAAAAAATTATCTCAGCAACAGCAGCAGGCAAAAAGCTAGACTAAGAATGATCTCGAAAAATTAGTACGAGCAAAGCCAAGGAAGCTTCGCAACAAGAACACACAGATTCCGCTTTAGCAAGACGACTGCTCCCTGAAATGGCGCCCGCCGCGTCTTGGATGGTTGTAGGAGGATCTGTGTTGCCGCTATGGGGATGCCCAGACCTTGCTGCACGGGCTCTCGCGAGATTTCCATACAAATCGATTGTGCGTACTACGAAATTCTCGCGAAGAATGCGTATCTCGCGAGAAAGGTGTTCGAAGCAAGCAATTCAACAACTCGCAAGAGCAGTAGGTCGTTTATCAAACGGTATCCGAAAGCGATGTCTTTCCCATACGTGGTCAAGAATCTCGCGAGAAGTTGTGCAATTTTCCTCGTCATAAAAGAAGGCAAAAATATTAGATTCTACGTAGGAGGTGAAATTGCTTGACTTTACGAATGCCAGTTTAAAAAACGTTATATGTATTTTAAAAATTGTACGTTCTGGGTTGATTTTCAACAGTTTATTATTTGGAGAATAATGTGATTGCAAATACTGTAAATACATTGCAAATCCTAAATAAGTAATTGCCCATATTAATGAGACATGAGATTGCACATCATTCAATTACCTTAGGTAAACACTATAATTAGATATAAATACAATTTAAATAAACGGAAACAGTGCATAAAATGTTAAAAATAAGTTGTTTACCTGAATAATCTATCCATCGACCTCAAAATTGAACAAGAACAAATTTGGTTTGAGATGATAATTTTTTATAATCCATCAAATCATTATCAACAACCACATACATTTTCCTCGTGACTATCTGTTCCCTAGAGACAGACCCTTCAAGTGTTCCATCAATATAGCTATCATTGTTGCAATTGAATCCATCCACCTTGTTACTGATGATCCTCTTTTTCCTAGATTTATAAGTTACAATATTACTTTGTCTAATGTGTTTGTATATTATACTTTGAGACTGGCTGTCCTAAAGGTGCTATTTTTTTCGTTGAAGACATTTCACTTCTCATCCAAGAAGCCTCTTAAGTTCAGAACTTCAAGTTCAGAACTGAAGAAGCTTCTTTGATGAGAAGTAAAACATCTTCAAGGAAAACAAAATCCAGTTGCCTTTTGAAAAAGCACTTTTGGGACAACCATGACTTGGATGACTGAGAATCTCCATAGAGACTGGCTATTTGCGCACTGAGTGGGAACTCTGCATTGATTTGCTCTATGATCTTTTCAAATGCATCCTCCATTGATCCCAGCTCTGCAAGCCTAGATTTGACATTGCCATAGAAACACAGCTTTCAGACCTATGGGAATATTGATGCTATTGGATTAAGAGGCAATGAAGTGCCAGATTGCATAGGAAAGTATGTTAGAAAAATCTGGAAGTAGGCTGTTTTAAACCAAAGTAGACTAGTATCTATTATACATTCTGCTAAAAGTTTCTGCTCAAAGTTCTAGAGCGGAAGTCAGGAACTCATAATAACCTCATAATAAGCAATTATTGTCGCAGTCCAACCCAGAATACTCTGTGCCTTGATTATAGGAATTCTGGTTCAATATGTTTTGCTGCCCAAACTGAACTTTGACACCAAGAAGCACAGTTGTGACTTTTAATCTGCACTGGACTTTGACCACATTATTGCTTACTAATTTTTTTGTGTCTTATTCTGTTACTGACCCTAAAATGCTAGACTGCTTTGAAAATACCAGCACAATCCAATATTTTATGTCCACAAGTAACATGGTTTGGTTATTACTGTAATCATTTGAAGTGGAAATAGAATTATAAACCAAATTATGGTAGTTTAGTAGCAATAAAATTATTAGTAATTATTTAAAAACTATCAGATATTGTTTTTAAAATATATCCCTAATGTGCTCAAATGGTACATTATTTTTGAACATACATACCCATCATACTATTATCTTTGGACATACAACATCAGGCAGCATATAGAAACTGAATAATAAATGGTCTGTATTCCTTTCTATAAACTGTCTTGTTTTTTAAACTTATCTCTTTTTCAGAAACTTATCAATTGACTTTCTTAGTTTCTTCAATGCTTACAATCTTCTTTCAAATATTACTTTGTAATTTGGGCTTCATTCATTCTCCAATCTAATCAAATCACTTAAAGTATTTTTTTTTCATACTGGTCACTCATTTCTACATTCAATGCACATTCCTTCTGCAGCCATTCATTCCTGACTTTACTTTTTCTGTTTTACCATCCTAGCCTTTTTAAGTAAGCCATTCCTGCTGCATTTAACCTGTTTTGTGTTCCTCTTGACATACCCATTCTCACTTCCATATATAAAAAAGTACACAGAAGAATGCTCTTACATACAAATATTTTCAGTAATCTGTCTCGTTCTAACAGATTACATACTATACCCAATATTTTTTACTACATTTGCGCATCTTAAAATGTATCCATCATTTTTTCTATCTATTCAGACACAAAAAATAACCTGGTTGCTCTAATTTTTCCATTAATACTATTTTTCCTATCCAAAATTCAACAATACAGCAAAATCTGAAAATTAATGTGTTAAAGCCCAATGGGCTTATAAAACTATCACAAATATTCCTTATACATTTATCCAAGGGGTCATCATACATCCTTTTCTTAATTCTTGCTCACTGAAGAATCTTTGCTAAGTACTCCTTTTATTGTTTTGCATGGTTTACTTCTATCATATACTGCTTTTACCATGTTCAGTAACCAAACTTCAAGTTTTTATTCTTGCATACCATTCCATGTTCACTTTTATCATATTTTTCTCTAAACCAATAAGTATACACTAACTTAATTTCTCACAAGAACATTCGTTGCTAAAGTTCTCACCCTTTTGTGACAAAAATACATGTGCTTGCTCAGGCACAGATATATACAGAACTGGTAAAATTAGTTGGCTACTTCTATAAAAAGTTTATTTAACTATTTTGGTTCTATTGCATAATGGCATATACACAAATCATCTAAAACTAAGATTTATGACACAAGAGGACAATGGGGAAAAATAGAGCTTTGGTATTTATATCCTATTATTTAAGTTTATTTTAATCTTCTGTATGAATATGCTACTATAATACTATTTTGGTCTCTTAACGATGTAGTCTGGAAATATGAAATAGTTACTTAAGACTATTGCAGTATACTTTTATTTATTTTTTAAAATATATGTTAGCTTTTCAACTCATGAGACCACCTATTACAATGCTTCCCTCTTTACTCTGACAGAATTAAAATTAATTTTTTAACCAGCATAGAAAAAAAACTTAACAGAGTTTAAAGTGTCTGTTTAATAGATTTATTGCTCAGAACACTGATGAAAACATTGAAGGGATTGCAAAGAAGGAGGGAGGGAGGGAGAGAGAGAGGGAGAGAGAGAGAGAGAGAAAGAGAGAGAGAGAGAGAATGGGCAAGATTGCATGAGAAATAAATACATATGTATGAAGCTTGTTAATTATTTTCAAAGATAATTCGTTGATGGCTACTAATATTACAAATAGTCCTTGCCTACCAAATGCTCATTCAGCAACCATTTAGAGTTGCAATGGTGCTAAAAAAATAATGACTAGTGTCCCACATTTATGACCTTTTCAGCATCCCTGTCTCATGATCATCATTTCAGTTTTTATGCGTTGTCTTGTGCCTGTGTTTTTCTTTCCCCACTTTGCAGAGTGGTGAGGATTGGAGAAGAGATTACAAGAGAGTAACCAGGTGTACAATGGAGGATACTCAGGATTGTTTGTGTAGGGTATTTGCAGTTCCTATCCCTGATTGTAATCAGGGCTGCTGGTGCCACTGCATTGCTTTCAATATGCATTCTCCATTGTATGCCTGCTTACTTTCTTTTAAATCCTTCCTCTTTAATGAATGTAAATACAAACTTTAATTTTCTTTTTGTTAATTATCCCAGCTATAAGGTAAGCATTCCAAATTATTTCTCACTTAGCAACCACTTTGCTTAATGACAGAACTGCCAGGCCCAATTATGGTTGCTAATTGAGGACTACCTGTATTGCAGATAAATAATGAATGGAATGCCATAAGGAACAGTCTTAGCTCCTCTACTCTTCAGTATGTTTATTCATGATTTGATGAAGAGGTTAAATAGGTGGTTCCAATATCAGTAAATGACACAAAATTAGAAAGTTTGGATTTTAATTTGTCTTTTAGGGTATTAGTTACAAGACAAGAAGACAAATTTAAAACATTCTTGATAAGAATAGTGGCAGGGCTAAGCCTGTCAGGTGAAAACTTGGAAATCTTAAACCTCTTCTTCCAGATACTTTCTGGATATACATACTGTAGCTCTGTCTCCTGCCTTGGTGTGGGGTTTGGTAATTCTTGCTGCCTCCAGCTATTTTCTAGGCACTGTCTCATTTGATGTCCTCCCTTCTAACTCTCTTGTAAGACAGAGAGAGGAATTCCCACACCGTGTGTTAATTTCTACCAATTTAAAAGGAAAAGGTAAAATAATATTAAATGCTGTATTCCTTGTCCTTAAAATGTTGAAGCATGTGGCCAGAGAAATCAATCTTTTCTCCCCCTTCTACTTTTGAGACCAATCTATACTGATCTCATGAGTTAAATGAAATCAAACTATTAAAATTAGGAAAAGATAAACATTCCATTTTACTTTGAATTGTGCATTACAAAACAATCAGTTGTGGGGGAAATAAAAATAACTGTTATAACCACAAGCAGTATATTAGAGGAATTTATTTAGAAGTAGCTCTATTGCAAAGAGGCTCCAAGTTGCTGAATTGCTAAAATTGCATAGGAGCAAAAATACCAGAGATAGTAAAGTAGACTAAAAACTTATCGCCAAAATAAAAATAATATTATTAATTTTTTTTAGCTAGATCCATTATTTCCTAAGATGACCAGATTTCTAAAGCTATAGTCCATATTCTTGGAGTTTTTCATTCTTTTTCAGACATTCAGGAATGCTGTTGGGTAGCCTGGTAATCAGTTGCTTGGATTCCCATCTATTGAAGAACTACCTGAAATTTTCAAAAAAATCAAAGTTATTCTAACTCAGTGGTTCTCAACCTGTGGGTCGGTACCCCATTTGGGGTCGAATGACCATGTCACGGGGGTC